CGCCACTCCTCCTTGCCCAGCTCGGTGGCTGCGGCCTTTGCTCGGCCCAGCTCAATGCCTGCCGCGTGCATTCCTCCGACCTGCTGCTGCCGCGACGCCCGCCCGGTCTGGGGGCGACCAGCGCCGTCGCTGCGGCTGCCATCCTACCACGAGGCCTGCCAAGGGGATGTCTTTGCAGGGACCCCTACCTGGCCGCACAGCCAGCACGCCTGCCTCCACGCCCGTGCTCACTTGCCGCTTTGCTGGGGTGCTGTCTGCCCTCACCTCTCACCCTGTCCCCACCTCGGCCCCTGGCTCCCTGGCGCCTGGGGGCCTCAGGGGCACACAGATAGGACCCTGGGGCTGAGCACAAGCTACAGGGACAGTGGGGGGCTGGGCGAGGGCAGCAGGGTGGCCTGTGGAACGCACGGCTTCCCGCGCCCTTGCAGCTGGAGGCGGTTCTCTAGTTTGGAGTCGGAAGTGTGAGGTGGTTGGCAGAAGCAACAGCCTTTCTGGATCCTGGCAGCTGGACTGTGCCTGGCAGGCACGTTCTGGCTCTTCCGGCTCTGGGTATCCAGGAGTCCTGGCCCTGGTGACAGTGTCCTCCAGGTCAGCTCTGGCCACAGTAGCCTCAGATCCCGGTGGAGGTGGGGCTGTTGCTGTCCCTCTCCAGCAAAGCCCTCCTGCTCAGCCTGGAGTCCTGGGGAGTGGTGGTTGTCAGACCCACCAGGGTCTCCCTGCTCTGGTGTGAGCTGGTGGCTGGCTTGGCTGCTGTGGGCTTGATGTGGAGTCTGGGGTGGGCAGGGCCGTCCTCCCTCTTGCTCCACCTGGCTGGAGTTTCTTCCCATCAGAGCACGGGGCATTAAACACACCTTTTACAATCCACTGGGCCCGGCTGCCTCATTCTGCCCTCCCTGGATGGGGTGCTCTACAACCTGGAGGTAACAGGAGCATTATGGGAGTATCCCAGCTACAGTGCTGTTTAGAGCAGGCCAGTAGCTCCCTCTGGGGGGGCTTTCACCTGGAGAGTACCTGGGAGGGGTTGGGGAGCAGGCCGGCTGAGAGAGGCTCCGGCAGCAACAGAAGGCCCTTGGTATCCAGCCCAGCTCCCACACCCCTGGTGCCAAATGTGATGGATGTGCTCAGCACGGGGGCTCTGGTGGTGATGGATAGAGTCCATCCTTGGTCTCCTTGAACAGAGAGAGAGTCTCCTGCCAGGGGCTGTGGGTATCCTGTCCTGCCGGGGGCCACCTAGGAGGCCCTGACCATGTCAATAGTGGGATGTGGGGAGGGACGTCTGCTGTGGGGCCCTGTGTGTGGCTGGGTCCTGACTGCATTCCCTCCCTGGCTGCTATGTATGGCACAACACTACCGGCTGCACTCTGGCAACTCGGCCTGGGTGGCCTCCAGGGTCAGGCACAGCCCTACCTCCTGGAGCTGGGACTCCTGGGGGAGTGGCCTGCCAGAGAATTCTCTGACCTTCTCAGGTGGGGCTCCCAACCCACCTCCTCTCTGTCACCTCTCACTGGGCCTGGCCCATCTTCTTTGGGCTCCTGCTTACACTTTCTGTGCTTTCACATCGTGATCATATTTCACCCCCACAACGACTCTGAAACGACCAAACGCCCATCTTTCTATTCATTCCACAAACATGGTGGGCGCTGTGGGTTCCAGCAGACCCCTTCCTAACAGCTGGCAGTGTGAAGCCCGAGCTCCTGCTGGCCTCCACGAGGTGGCTGGGGCAGGGCAGAGAGGAACTCTGAGTCACAGAGAGGGAACCGAGATGTGAGCACCAGGTGGGCCTCTGTCCAAGGCTCTTTTCCAAGGCATCCTGCTGCTTCCCAGGGAGCCGGGCTCCCTTTCCTGCCACTCGGGTTGGGGCGATGGGAACCGGAACTGTTAATTTGGCTTTAGGGGTGAGGGCAGCTGAAGTGGTAGGGTGGGGGAAATTTCCACCATACGGAACCCTCTCGGGATCCCTAAGCCTCTGCTGCCGACTGGAAGCTCGGCCCCAAGGAGGGGTGGACCGTCTGTGTCGCTGGCTGCCTTTGGTTGATTCTGACTCACAGCGCCCCTAGAGGACAGACTAGAACTGCCCCACAGCATCTCCAGTCTGGAAATCTTTACGAGAGCAGATTACCGGGTCTCCTTCCTGCAGAGCTGCTGGGTGGGTTTGAACAGCTGGGTGGGTTGGCAGCCGAATGCTTGACCACTGTGCTCCCAGAGCTCCTTGGACCCCACCCATCTCCTGCTCACTTTCCTGTTCTCTACCTTGTGGGTTTCGGTGGTGGTGTGGACGCAGGCTGGCCTCAGGTGCCCAGCAACAGGTAGAGTGTGTGCTCAGCGCTCTGGAAGGGAGTTTGACCTTGGTTGCAGCCCCTGGGGGTGAGAGGGTTAAACTGGTGCCCCCTGCCCCCCAGCCTCCAGTCCTGACCCTTCTTCCTCCCTGAGTCAGGCTGAATGCAGCTCTGGGGGAAGGCGGCAGCAGGTGAGGCTGGGAGGAGTCCTAAGGACCGGCTGCTCTCTCTCACTGCCGTGATCATTAATAACCAAGCACTGGAACGATAATTAAAAGCCAAATGTGAGCCAAGCCTGCTTGCTGCTGGCTGGCTGCAAGGAGGGCCCGACCTGCTCCTGAGGCCAGGCGCTTGGCTGCCGTATCCTTTCTCTAGGAACGGCTGCTGGAGGGACGGTGAGCCTGGGCCAGGGTCAGGAGGACGGACTCCCACTGCCTGTCTCCTGTTTCTGCCACCATCCCTACCGCTCCTCAAGGGGCATCAAGGAAGGGTCCTGGGGGATGGGCCAGAAAGCCTGGCAGAGGAGAGGAGACAGCCAAAAGCATGGGAGAGTGATGGGAGGCCACAGGTTAAAATCATCATAAATGAGGGGCTGACTGGGTAGCAAAGAGCTGGTGGGAACCCCTGAACAGGCACCCCCATGTGATTTTCTTTGGGCAGGACAGAGGCTCTTGGTCTAGTCTCAGCAGGAGGAAACTATTTTACCCTGCCCCACCTGCTACTGCCAGAACTGCTTTTTCTCATTTGTAGTTGGAACAGTGCATGGCCAGCCCATCTTTATCTAAAGAGGCAGGCATCTGGGAGACCGGGATGGGGGCTGTGGTGGTTATGTTTTTTGTGTCAACTTGGCTGGGCCTGGCTGAGTGGCTGGGCAGCTGGATGTAGTACTCCCCATGATGAGACTGGTCATCAACTCCATGGTGGAATCTACTGGGAGCAGCTGGTAGCTGCCTTTGGGTATGTGGTCTGCTTCCCATATATAAGCAGCAGCGTTGGGAATGGTCTCTAGCATTTGGCACACTTGGACCCTGAATGAAGCTATGTCCTTGTTCAGCAGCCTGCCATCCTCTGCTGACTTTGGGACTTACAATGGACTTGAATTAATGGCCTGCTGTGTGGTTTGGTAACATCGGGACTGTGCGTTTTTTACTTGTCAACTTGGGCTTGTCAGCCTCAGCAGCCAGCAGCTGTCTGAGCAAAGAAAAGCCTCTAGCTTCAATGGGCTGGGAGCTGGGGGCAGAGCTGAAGCCCATGGCTGAGGGGCTTTCACCCAGCCCCTAGAGCCTGGCACTTTGAACTTGGACTTAAAGCCTCCAAATTGTAAGAATAAACTCCTGTTTATTAAGCCCATCCCATTTGTGGTATATTCCTATCAGAGTGACACTAGGTAACCAGAACAGGTGCAGAGCTCAGAAAAGGGCACATGACATCCTCAGTGAGAGTCCCTGGCTCCAATCTTACTCTCTGGAAGGGGACTGCTGTCTTTCAGTTTCGTGGGGGTTCACCCTCCTCCCTGAGCCCTCTGGACCCTGAACTGAAGTCTACTTCCTGTTTCTGAACGGCAGCAGGCAGTTGTTGCAAGACGACGCCTGGCTTGTTAGGAGGCTTTGATGCTACCTAGGTGTCTGGATGGAAATGAGTAAGTGGGGGTGGTGGTGTGGGGTGTGTGTGTAGGAGGGCAGACCTTGGCTGTAACCTCAGTTATCGCTGGTGAGGGACAAAGCAGACAGTGTCTGTTAAGGAATGGCTTTACTGAGCACTTCTGTGCAGGCATGGACTCAGTGCTGTGACTCCCACCCGGTCAGGGACACAGGTGCTCTCACCCCCCTGTACAGGGACAGGAGAGTGGAGCATGGAGGTCCATCTACCCGGGCCACATAGTCACCGTGGCACGTCTGACCTTTCAGTCCACACGCTCGACCATTGGTTACGCCACCGAGGCCTGTGGGGGGTGTGCCTGGCACTCATCACACTCGACTGATGCTCCCCTCCCGCTTCCAGCCTGTCACCGACGCCCGCGGCCTCCCAGGGATCACAGAGCTCCTCTGGCAGTCCTGGTCCCCGAGAGAAGCCAGCCTTTGAGTAGCGTGGCCGGGGCAGGGATCGGCTTGCTTCCCATGGACTCACGGCTCAGGGCCTGGCATCCTCCTCCAGGCTAGCTCCCCATGGCGGGGCAGAGATCTGTCCTCCCCCCAGGCTGACTTCAGCTTCTGCCTGTTGCCGAGGAGGCTGCTCTGGTCCCCGTGTGGTGAGAACAGCTGTGCAGCCAAGGGTCTGGCCAGGTGCTCACTGCCCACCCCCACCACTAGGCAGTGCCTGCCCGCCTGCCATCTGCCCCATCTCAGGTGGGGACCAGCCAGGAGCTGCTGGCACAGGCTCTAGGGCTCAGGCAGGGAGCCAGGTGGAGCGTTCGGGCCCCACCCTCACCTGGCTTGCCCTGGGGCCAGTGTGGGCCCAATGACATGGGTGTGGGGCGGGGGAAGCTGCAGAGACCATTCTTTGCAAAGAGACGCCAGTTCCCGGGCCAGGCCGGCCCAGCCTCCTCTTTTGTCCTCTGCCCCATTGCAGCCTCACTGGGCCATGGTAACTCTGGGTCCCCTGTGAACTGGACATGAAGAGCCACCTGCCCACCTCACCAAGGAGATACAGACACTCAGGTCCGACGCACGGACGCAGGCCAACCTCCTTTGGGGGCCTCCTAGCCATCGGCATTCTCTGTTCCTGCCGCAGCCCCTCTGGCTGGCAGTGCTCGGGGGTGGAGAAGAAGTGCTCTTTCTGACCTCCAGCAGCAAAGCCAGCACGGTGAACGCTCAGGAGCCAAGAGACCCCCAGATGGGTGGCAGTGGGGAGGGCCTCGCAGCTCCCCCCCAGGCCTAGGGCTGCCCCGGCAGAGGTGGCAGGCACACAGCCGCCCTGCTCCTCTGCCGTGTGGTTCCAGACTCATAAATCAACCTGGGCTTTATGACGCCAATACATTTGCGTCCAAAATTTGGTTTGGAGCCTGGGGCGACAGGATGATTTAATTTGCTTTGTCCTTAAGCAAGAGGGAATGTAATTGGAGGAGGGTAAGTACAGATGTTTTAACTGAGTTTTCAACACACAGTTGGGCAGCTCCAGGGAGGGCCTGGCAACGGTCTTCAGTATCCTTGGCACTGCCACCTGGGTGCCCTCCCTGTGCTGCCACGCTGGGGCAGGGCATCCTAGGAAGCACTCGCAATGGTGGACGGGGAAGGGGCCTTATGTGTCACGTGGACGGAAAATATATGAGGGCATGAGCTGGGGGAGCTGAAGGGGAGGGAATGAACAGTGAGGACAGGGATGGTGGCAATTACGGCAGCACCCTCATGGGCACAGGCTGCAGGGCCCGAGGTGGCAGGTCATGCTGCCTGCGACGCCCAGCACACTTCACCCTAAGGCAAGCAGATGCCCCTGCCGCCTGCTGGGCCCTCAGACAGACTACCTCAGCCCCAGGAGACCTGGAGGCACCCTTTTGTCATAGGTACAAAGACTGATGCAGGGGGCAGGCAGAGTTCCCTAGCGAGGGCTGAGCAAGGCACTGAAATCAAAAGAGGGGAAGGGGCCCGAGGCCCCCACCTGAGAGGCAGCTCTAGGCTCCAGACGGTGAGACCAGGCCCAGGGCTGGGGCAGCAGCGTCAGGAAGGACCCCCGGGCCCTGAAGCAGGAGAAGGCACGTTGAAAATGCAGAGTCCATCAGTCACCTGTGTCCGAGGTCCCTGGCCCAGCAGGTGCGCGCGTGATTAGGAGGGGCTGGGGCCCTGGGCAGGTAGCTGGGAACCTGGCCCTCCGTGCACAGGCACAGAGTCCTTGCCACTCCCAGCCCCACGACCCCAGGGGGACAGAGGGGAGGGACACTGAGCACCCACAGCTGCTTCCCCTGGGGCCCCGTCAGTGCTGGAGGGGGGCCAGGTCAGCCCAGCAGCTGCAGGCCGGACCTTCCAGAGTGGGGGCCCAGAGCCCGCGGCTGCCGTGTGCCCAGAGGCGCCCCAGGCCTCAGGGACGGGGGTACTCTCTCCAGCAGCCTCCCACACTGCACGAGGTCCGAGGCTCCTTGCGGGCAGCTGGGAACAGAGACTCCCTCAGGCGTCACCGCTCAGAGCTTAAACCCAGCCCAGGGGCTGCTGTGAACCCCACGGCAGGGACAGACAGCTACTCCGGAGCCACTCGGGAGCCGCGCCACATCAAGGCCCTCACAGTGCTGGCCGAGGGAGCCTGCTGCCGACGACCCCTTCCTGTGCCTGCCCTCCTCTACAGTGGCAGTGAGCGCCTCCCAGGCCTGGCGGGAAGGGGGGCCTGCCCATCATGGCGGCCTGGGGAGGAGGGCTGCAGGAAGCCGATTCCCAGAACAGGAAGTGTGCCGTGTGTGTGTTGAGGGGACAGTGTCCCCTACAAACGAGCAGCAGTGCCAGCACCACGCAGAGGTGACGATTCCCGTGACAACTCCTGGGCTCAGGCTGCTGGGCTCAGGCTGCTGGGCTCAGCCTCGCAGAAGGACCCAGAAGGGCTACACAGAGGCGAGGTGCGGAATCTCGCGTGGGGGGTGGACCCCCAGTCCCTCCACGTGCCTGGGTTTGTCTAGCCCCACAAGGGTGCGGGAGGCACCCAGCTCCTGGCTCTGCGGGTGCGGAGGTCAGGTGGGGGGCTGCCACCATGCTCGTCACCATGGACGCACGTGTAGTCCTGCCATCAGAGCTTGGTCTCGCTGAGGACGATGTTGGCCGTGACGAAGAAGAAGCAGGAGAAAGCCCAGAGCAGTACGAAGCCCACCCAGAAGCTGTGGCGGAAAGGCGATCTGTGTTTGTTGGCCGTCCCGCCGCCGAAGGCCAGCTCGGTGTCCTTGCGGCAGTGGTAGACGAGGAAGGCGGGGACGACGTACTGGATGCCGGTGCCCGCGTAGGCGCCCGTGATGCCCACCAGGGACTCCAGGTCATGGGTGCAGAAGGCCACCACCACGGGGGGCAGCAGCGTGATGGTGGGGAAGACCACGCGGTCCACCACCCAGGGGTACGTGCCCCCCTCCCGGTGGAAGAGCGTCTTCCAGTTGTTGCGGAGCGTCACGGCGATGATGGGGAAGTTGGTGCTGATGGTGAAGACGGGGAAGAGGCCCAGGAAGAAGCGCACGGCGGCCAGGCCCACGACGTCGCAGCGCGCGAAGTTGAGGGTGTACATGTCCAGGAGGCTGTCGCCGCGGAAGCAGAAGATGGCGGTGAAGGAGAGGAGGCTGTAGAAGGCCAGGATCAGCACGTAGTCCAGGAAGACCAGCCGCGTGAGGTGGCGCTTGGAGGACACGGGGGTGACGAGGGACGGCAGCGAGTGCTGGCACATGAAGGAGTAGACACACACGCCGAACAGGTTCCGGAGCCCGGCCAGGTCCGCCAGGGGCGGGTGGCCCTCCCCCTGCCCGCGCCCGATGCGGACCAGGGCCAGCACGATCATGACGGCGAAGGCTGTGGACGAGAGGGGGGTCAGCCGGGGGGCAGGACCTGGGGGAGAGGGGGGTCAGCCGGGGGGCAGGACCTGGGGGAGAGGGGGTCAGTCAGAGGGCAGGATGGGTGGGGAGTGGTGAGCAGGGGCTGGAGGCCCACTGTTAAATGCAAATTATGTCACTCTCAGGGCCACACGGCGGGCAGGCCGATAGGGCTGCTGATCCACAAATGCCGGGTGCCTTCTCTCACCCCATCCTGCCTACCACGGCAGACAAGGATTCTCTGGGGGAGCCTTTGCACGCCCACCGAGGTGGTCCACCTACTGCCGAGACAGCTGTCTCCCAGGAGGACGCAGACCCCGGTCTCCAGTCTGCCCAGCTCCCTGTCATCTAGGGCTTCCTGGCAGGGGGCAGGGGGCAGCTCCTCCTCCCTCCTTTGATTTAGGGACCAAGTGTCTGGGGAGCTTGGGGGTGAGGGGGAGAGGGGCACAGAGCAGAAGGGAGCAGGTGTCTGGGGCCAAGGGCATCTGCTAGATGCAATGGGGGGGCATGGGCAAGAGGGAGCAGAGGGTGTGCCCAAGGGCCCGGACAAGGCTGGAAGCTGCCAGTGGTCACTGCAGGGAAGAAGTACTAGAGGTCAGGGCTGGCCATGCTGTCCTCTGAGTGGCTGGAGGGACGTGGCTCATCGTTCTGGTCACCCGGGCACAGTCAGGGCAGGGCAGTGACTTGGACCCTGGATTGCTGCCCAAGGGGAAGGAGCCTGCAGCCCCCTGTCAGAGAGTACAGCCCTTCCTACGGGCTGACAGTCCAGACTACAAGGCCATGAGGGCAGAGCCCGCACAGATGCACCGCAGCTCTCAGCATTAACCGAGGAAGACACGGACGAGTGCCCCAGGCACCCAAACCCTCAGTGGCTGATGGTACTTCCCGACCGGGCACCCACTTCCTTGTCCCTCTGGTTTCTGGCACATGCCATCCTCATCAGCCAGGCCTGCCACCTGTAGCCACACACAGGGAGCCCGCTGTCTGGGTCTCCATTTCTGGAGCTCACAGCTCCTGTTCTCCAGTTCCTTGGGTGAGACCGAGGACCCGTGGCACCTCTGGGTGAGGCACCAACAAGCCACGAGTGGGTGCAGCTCGGGAGCCTCGGCAGTGGACCCCAAACAGAGGTGCCGAGGGCCTGCCCCCCTCGGGTGGCTGCCATGTCCCCTCAGGCCACCTCATACTCCCGACCTCTTGGCAGAAAGAGGTCCTCCTGGGACCCGTGGGCAGCCGACCAGTATCTTCCCACACTGACACTTTGCAGGGTGGTGGGGGCGGGGAGCCTATAAAATGATGATTTGTTCCCTGCTCTTGGAGCCGGCTTGCACTCCCGCCCCTGTCCTCACGCTCCTGACTCTGAAGGGCCTTGTGACTGTCCCCACTCGCTCAGACATCACAAATCTTCCAGTGCCACTCAGTCAAGGGGAAAGCCAGAAGCTGCCCCAGGGTTAACCCTCTGAGGGGTGGACAGCCTGTGGGCCTCCTCACTACCTCAGGGACAACCCAGGGGGCCTGGGGAGGGGGCTGCACGTGGGGGTGCCCGTGTGTGTGCATGTGTACATGCAGAGGGTCATGTGTGGGGGAAGAGGGGGTGAGTTCGTGGAAGGGCAGGGGCACAGAGGGCAGGTGCATGCAGGGGGGAGTGCGTGGAGGGGTGAGCAGGCAGAGGTTTTTGTGGAAGTCACAGAGAACGCTGGGGGCCCAAGGGAGGGCTCACTATGCACCAGGAGTCTGTCCTGGGCCAGAAAGGGTTACAAAGCAGCATGAGGTGGGTGGGAGGGGATCCCCCCTGTAGCTGGCAGAGTGGAAACCCTGGGGCCTGGTGATGAGTAATTCAGGCGGCTGGCAGACAGTTCAAACACCAGGAGAGCAGCCTAGAATCTATACCAGTGGTGGCCCCGCAGAGTGGCTGTCTCGGGAAGCTGAATTTTATCAGTAGTGATGACAGCATTTTCCAGAACTTTTAGAATGGGCAGGGCGTGGGGACAGGGCACAGGGGGTGCCACTGTAAGAAGATTCAAATCCTTCTGGCTGCCACTGACTTGGGGTGCCACCTCGTGACCCGGTGCTGCCCCTAGGGCCAGCATAGAGGCAGGTGGAGAACCAGCCGTCTGTGGCTAAGGTTGGCCTGGGCTCCGGGGCCCCAAGAGTGAGCAGGGAGGAAGAGGCACCCCCTATTCCTGCTCTTCCCCCACCTCATGCTGGCTGGAACCCCCCCTGCTCGTCTCCCTAGGCCCCCAGCCTTTTGTGGAAATGCGGGCATTTGAAGGGGAGTACCTGTCGCCCCTGGGATCAGGGGAGCTTTCCTGACTGTTAATCAATCAATTTATGACCTATGTTTCCAGAGAAAGGAGACTGACTTTTTCAAGAGAAAACATCAGTATACCTGCCAGCAGGCCCTGCAGAGTGGCTGTCTCAGGAAGCTGTCTTTATGTCAACGGTGATGATAACATTTTCTAGAACTCTTGAGAGTGCCCCTCAAAGCCGTGGCTGTGAGCACGGCGAAAGCTCATCTCACGCCTTTGAGCGGCAACTCCTTCTACCCAGCACACTCTCCTGATAATGGTTTCAGACAAGTTTTCAATTTATATCTCCACTATCTGAAAGCAGAAGGCGCTCTGCTGGTGCAGGGAGTAAGGCATTTGGCTGCTAACCAAAAGGTTGGTGGTTCAAACCCACTAGCCACTCCTTGGAAGAAAGATGAGGCAGTCTGCTTCCATAAAGATTTACGGCCTTGGAAACCCAATGGGAGTCACTATGAGTCAGAAAGGAATCAGTGGCATAAGTTTGGGCCTTTTCTTTTGTCTAAAAGCAGAGTGTTCCTTAAGCCGAATGGTGTAATGCAAAGAAACAATTAACTTTAATTTATAGGGGAAAAGTTTTTGAGCATTTTCAGACCCAACGAGCCTGGTGGTGCAGTGAGTAAGGCATTTGGCCGCTAACCGAAAGGTCAGTGGTTCGGACTCGCCAGGCATTCCAGGAAGGAAAGATGAGGCAGGCTGCTTCTGTGAAGATTTACAGCCTTGGAAACCTGCTGGGGGTTGCTATGAGTTAGAATCAACTCAATGGCACTTAGTCTGGTTTTGTTTTTTCACCAGACCTCCAAAATGACCTACCAAGTAACACATAAAACCTAACATAACACTAACATAGTGTTCACAGGCGCAGCTCAAAGCTGTGGCAGTTGATGCTAAGTGTAGTTCCTGGGGAAGGAGATGGGGGCACCCGTCTCGTGCTCGGGGTACACTGTCTTGCTGATAAACCAACGCCGGGCACTAGTTTCTGTTTTTTTTTTTTTCATGAAAGTGAAAATCCTCTTTGTTATCAAAAACAGGTACTAATGTAGGTCTTCTGTAAAAGTGAGATGGCACGAAGTAAACTTTCGAAAAGTGGAGGATGTGCGTATTTCCCAAACCCCAAACCACCCTCCAGGACCAGATGTTTGCAGCTGCCAAAGATTACAAAGATGCCAGGCGCTCCAGGGAGAGGATCCCGGGAGTGGTGGGAAATGGCTGTTTTCTGGGGCTGCTGATTCCAGACAAGATGGGGTGGGATGGGGGAAGCGGCTGGGAGCCCTCCAAGGGGCCGCACTCCCACTGTAACACTGCAGTGCCTGCTATAAAGCTCCTACAGCGGAAACGCTGCCAGCTGTGGGGAGAGAAAAACAGGACTCACGTTCAAGGAGAGGGGTTCCCGGTCCTGTGGACACCGAGCACCTGCTACGTGTGGGGTACTGGCCAGGCCCTGAGGAGCCAGCCAGGCACCGACTGCTCCCAGGACGACGCCACACTGGTTGGGAGGGACAGTAACCAGAGCCAAACAAGACGGAGCTGGGACTATAGGCTGAGCAGCTCTCCCGAGGAAAGGGACCTGGCTCTCAGAGAGCACCCAGCCAAGAGCCTGGCCTCAGCTCAGAGTGGGTGAGGGACGGATTCTGCAAGGACATGACCCTACCCAGCTCTGCAGGTGGGTGGGTAGGTGGCAGAGGTAACTGTGGGAGTGACCCCACCAGGCTCAGCAGGGGGGTGCCCAAGGAACTGCAGGAGGGGGTGGGGAGAGTGTGCCACGAGAGCCCCCAGATCCTACCCCCATGAGGACACAGGGTGGGTGCTGGGCTAGGTTCAAACCCCCGAGTGTTCTCTGGGATGGACGGGAAAGGGGAATGGTGCTGCAGCCGGCAGAAGGCACGAGCCGTGCCCTTGACCGAGCTTCACGGGACAGAGGCGAGCCGGTGCCACGCTGGGCTGGGGGTGCTCTGAGATGGCCCAGGGTCGGGAGACAGGTCCATCCCTGGCCCCCCCCAACTCTGGAGGAGCGAGTTCAATAGCCATCTCCCAGATTGATCATCTGTCCCTGCGAGACAGCTGCTCCCAAAACTCATTAGCTCTGATAATAAATCAAGATGAAACGAGGATGACAGGCTGCAAGCAACAGCCACGGTGGGACAGCGCGACCGAGCACAGGGTCTGAGTGTAACCAGAACTAGGGCCCAGCCCCACTGACAGCTGGCTGCCCACCTCACGGGGAGGCATGTGGGGGCCAGGGTGGACACAGAAGGCGGGCACTCTCCAGCCAGCCTGGTGATGAGACCAGCAGGACTTAGCCATCAGAAGTGGGGGTGCCTGTCCCCAGGAGAGGCCGCAGGTGCCCGAGGGCAGAGCCTGGTCCTTCTCCTCTGATGCGCCCCAGGGGGCTCGGGTGGCTCTGAACCTCACCCACAGCCCTGCACTCTACACCGGGAGTCACGCTCTACACTGGGAGTCACGCTCTACACTGGGAGTCACGCTCCAAAGGGTGAGGAAATGCTGTGAGGAGCCAGGGAAGACTCAGGGCGGAGGCCTGACACCTTGTCACATGAAGAGTGGCTGTCGGGCCTCAGAGCCTCAGCTGCAAGGTGACGAGGGGTCAGACTTCTCTGATAATATCTGAAGTAACAGCCTGTGTGGAAGGAAGCACACTGGCTTTGTGGCACCCGTGGGG